GGGGCTCACATACAGAACGTGGGCCTCTCCACACACACGGGAGCGTGGGGCCCACGCACACGGGAAGCAGGGGCTCACGCACACGGGAGCGTGGGGCTCACATACAGAACGTGGGCCTCTCCACACACAGGAACATGGGGGTCACGCACACGGGAGCGTGGGGCTCACATACAGAAACATGGGGCTCGTCTACAGCCCTACCACCCTGAACGCGCCGGATCTCATCTGATCTCGGAAGCTAAGCAGGGTCAGGCCTGGTTAGTACTTGGATGGGAGAAACATGGGGCTCTCCACACACACAGGAGTGTGGGGCTCATGCACACGGGAGCGTGGGGCTCACACACATAGGAATGTGAAGATCACACACGTGAGTGTGTAGATTGCACACATGTGAACATAGAGATAACTCACATGAGCATGTAGACCACACAGAAGCATGGAGTTCACATATATGTGGGCAAGGAGATCGCACATGTGGGTGTGGAGATGACACACAGAAGCATGGAGTCCACATATATGTGGGCAAGGAGATGGCACATGTGGGTGTGGAGATGACACAGAAGCATGGAGATGACACACACAGGAGCATAGACATGGCACACAGCAAGAAGAAAGGAGCACGTGGGAGGGGCTGGGGAGCAGGCCACCCGCACCCGGTGGGAACTGGTCCATAACTATTCCTCCCTCTGTACCAGCCTCCTCCCCTCCTGTCTGAAAAGGCCATTTTTTCAAGTAAACAAATCTAGCTGACTCCTGTGCAAAGTTTCATAAAAACTCACGGAGATCGGCTTCATGGTCACCAGGGAGTCAGACACCCACCCAAGTGGTGGGGAGGCAGTGCTTTGCAGAGAGCCCCTTGCTGGTCAGGGGAGCGGGTGCTTGCCAGCCTAATGTGCTCAACTAGGTCTGGCTCTGCGGGAAGGCGGGAGCCTCAGCAGGGCGGGACAGGCGCACTTACAGGCGGGTCGGAAGGATTCCTACATCGGCATTACAAATAATAATCAACACTAATGACAGTGTGCAGCGCTGACCTAGCACTAGGAATGAGCCCTCACCCCACCATCCTTCCTTCCGTTCTTGCAACAGCCAGGGGGGCAGGGCCCTCATTCTCGCCTCACAGGTGAGGACGCAGCAGCACAGCAGGGACCCCGGGCTGGAGAGCTGGCTTGTGGTGGCCTCAGCGCTGGGCCCCAGCGCAGCCTGAAGCCTACTGCACAGGACGGGATTCGGGCTCTGAGGGGAATGTGTGGCAGGTGTGGGAAAACTGCCTTCCCAGGTCCTCGGGCCACACACCCAGGCTCACCCAGCTGGAGGGAGCAGAGTGAGGCAGGCGCCCAGGCTACCACCCACGCCAGGTGAGCCGTGAGGCTCTAGTGGAAACTGAGGCTCTTGGCGGCCTCCTGGGTGGAGTGCTCAGAGCACCACTGATTCGCGGCTCTGCATCCGCCCCACTGCCCCACGGCAGCTGGGGGGCAGCCGCCCACACCCATGGCTCTGCCTCCGCGCCAGGCTCCGCCAGGCCGTGCCCGTCGTTCCACAAGATCCTCCACAACTTCCTGTTGGGCGCAATGTCTGACTACCAGAGCGCAGTGGAGCCCTTCCAGCCAGACCAGAACATGAAGGAGGCCGGGACCCAGATGAAGACCCTAGTGGACACCCTACCCCAGAGCACGCGGAAGGAGGTGCTGAGGCTCTCGGTGAGCGTCCTCCTGCCCCGCCCGCCGGGCCTCATATCCTGGGCCCATTTCTAGCCCAGCCAAGTCAGTCAAGGTTGCCTGAGATCCTGACAAGCAGGCGTGGTCTCTCAGGATTTTCCCTGAGGCTTTTGTTGTTCTTGGTTTTGTTATTTGGGGAGTTTCTTGCTATGTAGCCCAGGCTGGGCTCCACCTCCATCCTCCTGCCTCAGCCTCCCCTGCTGGGATTATAGGCATGTGCCACCATGTCCAGCCTCCTGTCACCTTTCTAAGAGCCCTTTAAGAAGGACACCCAACCTGTGCTCATGGGCTCCCCAGCTAGCTGCACTCCGGAGTCCATTCCAGTGTCCAGGCCCCTGCACCAACAGACTGTGAAACTCACTCAGCACTCTCTGGGGCTTTTCTTTCTTTTTTAGGAAAAAATAGTAAAAGCCAATGAGTGTACTTAGAATTCAGCAACCCAAAGCCCGCTGGACATGAAGCTGAAGATGTCACCCGACAACCCCATCCCTGCCTGCAACCCCCTTGGCTTTGCAATAAACCTTGAGCATCACACTCAGCCTCTGGCCTCTCCCACTCACTTGCAGGGCTAGGGCAGGGCTGCAATCCCAGGGAGAGGGGCCAGGCCCTTTCCTGCCCTCCGTGCTCCCTGTGGCCCAGTCATTGTCCCCTCCAGGCCTCACAGCCCGGGCACTCATGGCCTTCCTTCTGTGGGTGCATGGGGTCTTCCACGGCCCGCTGCCGTCAGCGCTCCCACCTGTCCCCCCAGGTTGGGGATCTCTGCCAGGGCGAGCCCGTGAGTCCTGTGATGGCGAAGACTGAGTCAGAGCTGCTACATCCCTTCCTGCACCCACGTGACTGCCACACCTGAAGCCCGGCAGTCTCCATGGCCCACGCCAAAGGGTCTCCAGGGCAAATGTGTGGGTATAGAGCTGGCCCTAAAAAGACGCCCGAGACCTAAGGCCCCAGCGGTGTCTGCCACCAGAGGGCAGTGTCACCACACCACGCAGGCTCGAGGCCCAGAGGGTGGAACCCAGCCTTAGGGTCCTGTTACCCCACCCCCACCCCCACCCCCACCCCCACCTGGCAACAGCACCTCCAGACGGTCCCAGGCTGTCGATCCTGTGTTTACAGTACAGAATCAGACGCTGGTACCTACATAGATCCTTTACCCGTCCTCATGGCATTCTTACAGGGCCCACCCCGCCCTGCAGGCGGCAGTAGCTGCCAAAGCCAATAGAACAGGCGACAGGGGTGAGAAGAGAGCCCAGGACACACACCCCTTCGCACCTACACCAGGGTGGCCCAATACGACCTGCTGTGCAGGAAAGACTGGGCTGTAAAAATTCCAGGCCAGGTCAGGGGCCTGGATTCCTGGGGCCTCCCTGCCACCCCGCCCCCTCCACCACTCCCCACATCCAGCTCGGCCGGCCTGTTCGTCCCTCCAGGTGCCCACCCAGCCCACGTTGTTCCAGGGGATAAAGATCAGGGCCAGGAAGGCTCAGCATCTTAATTACCATCCCCTGCTGGGGAAGTGTTTACCTTGGACAAACATGCAGATAAGGGAGCCTGCAAGAAAGCACAGCGCCTGCCTGCAGCCATCCTGCCAGAGGCCAGAAGACCCGCAGGAATGCACGCTATGTAATCCCAGCGCCCAGCCTTACACTTTGCTCAAAAAGGCAGGGCAGGAGCAGGGGAGATGGCTCAGTAGGATAAGCGCTTGACTGGCAAATGCAAGGATTTGAGTTCAATCCCCGCTTCCGCCAAAGAAAACAAAAAAGGCAGGGTGCAAGGACAAATAGCTATAGCCCCAGAGAGAGCCGGCCCTTGTAGGGGACACCAGGGACGGAAGCAGGAGAAGGGGGACAGGCTCCCCCGGTGAGGCCCAGTGCGACCGTACCCACCGCTCTGCACCACAAGCAGGTGCGCCAGTTGAGGCGGGCCTGGCCCTGTACAAACTCAAGCTCAGAGTGGCTTTTGCTTTTGAAGAATGAAGCACGAGGAAGGGGAGGAAAAGTCCGTACTGGCGCTGCATGAAGAACTAGCCATAGGACTAGTCATTGTCTCTAGGAATATGCCAAACCCTAGCACACAGGAAGCCCTGTGTATGGGTAGGAGCTTCCTGCCTTTGAGGGGTTTCGAGCACCAACTGCATGCATGAGAGAGGGACTTTACGCATCCCAGCCAAGAAAAAGGACCAAAAGCCAGAAGTGCATGTGTACTTGTTTTATGTCATTATTATTTTTATTTCATTTTTAGGGAAGGGTCTACAGGGTATTCAGGGTCTCACTACTAGATTGGACCCGAGTGATCTGCCCGTTTACAGCTTCCCAAGAGCTGGGATTACAGGCGCCCATCTCAGTTGCTGTCTCAGGGCGCCCTGGGGGCGGGGCCGGCAGGGCAGGCCCGGGAATCGAACCCCTGGCCTGCTTGCAGGTGCTTTAATACGCTGGGCCATTTGGCCAGCCCTCACTACACTCATTTTAGCATTCAGAAATTTGAGCAGTGAAGTGAGAGAAAGACCATGTTTCTCAATGACTTTGTTAAGAAAGTGAATCTGGGTGAAAAATATTATTTGGAAAATATCTGTGATCCCACCAGTTTGGAAACAAAAGGAATCTAAGCCTCAACTGCAACCACTCTCGCTCCATGAAATCCCAGCCATGGCCTTCAGTCTCAGTCAGGCCCGCATGTGCTGACAGGCAGCACGCACAGCTCCAACCCCAGCAGCCGAGGAGGTTACGCTGGCAGAAAAGCTGCAAGGGACTCACCAGGCCGGAGCAGGAAGCCAAACCAGCCCTAATCAACTTCATCAAGATGGTGAGGATAGGAACTCGCTCAGAGCCGTGCCAGCCACAGGCTTCCGAGCACTGAGGCCTTCTGGGTAGTAATTCAGTGCAGGGTGACAGCTAGCTAATAGCTTCAAGTGGGCGCTGAGGGGACCCTCGGCTGACGACAAGCAGGCTGCACCTATAATGCCTCAGAGAGGTATAATTGGGACGAGAATGAGCGTGAGTCCTCAGCAGTCAGCCGACCAGCACACTGCCACAATCAACTAAAATTACCAAACTACAGGTCATGAAAAGAAACCTAAACATAGGCTCAGCTAAGCAAGCATGGTTGCCAGCTGCAGAGTTGACAGGCCAGGGGCTGGGAGCTCGGGGCCGGTGCCCCTCGAGATGCCACACTCCTCCCAACCCCAAGCTGCTGAGCACCCATAGTGCCTGGGGTTCTTATCCTCAGCACAATCAGCCCTGTAACCACATGCTTCCTCTGTGGCTCTGCAGGACTCCAGTGCCCAACCAGGTCCTCTGTCAGGACAAAAGGGAGCTAACCCAGGACTCCCTGGGAGAGTGGGGTGCAGGGTCTCCTGGGATTCAGCCCTTCTTTCTGCACTGAGACCTTCACCCTGCCCCAACCAGGTCTGGCTTGTTGCAAGTCATCTCTAAACTAATTTCTTTCAGCAGCTGTAACAGAATACCACAAATTTAGTGGCTGTAAAGAAGAAGGAAGAAGGAGGAGGAGGAGGACGAGGAAGAGGAGGAAGAGGAGGAGGA